GACGTGGGTGGAGGGAAATGACCTCCAGCCCACGTTTTGTACTCCAAAACGGGCGTTTAGCGTGGTTCGTCACTGCCCATTCCTACATTACAGACTGCTTCGCTTTCAAAATACGAAAATTTTAAAAGCGTTACACTTTTAAAAATATTCATATTTAGAAAGCTTGCTTTCTTTCATGTAGCAATGGCATCGTCTCATTTCAAATGGGTCTTGTGAGACATGTGCAGTGGAGGTTGTTGTCGTCGCATCAAAACCGTTGAGTGTTGCGCTGGTGACGAGGCTCGTGCCGGGTCTTGAACGTGTCGAGACGCTTCGACCAGCTGATCGACCGCCGGGGTGATGTACATCTCCTTGGCAGTATCGCTGCGCCACCGTTCCAACTGTTTCAAAAAGCGATCTGGTACTCCTGAGTTGGCGGCGGCAGTGGCTGCGTCTTTGCGAAAGGAGTGGGTGCCGAGATGCTCGATACCTAAGCCGATCTTTTGGAATGCCTCCTTGCACCAGTTGCGGATTGTTGTGTAGGATGGTGAAGTGGCGGCAGTGCCGAGACTCGTGGTGTCTTGACCGAAAACTCGTATGAGCGGGCCTCTTTGTGCATGGTTGTATCCCGCCAATTGGATGAAGCGCTTGGTGCACCGTACGGGGCAGAAGGGACCTGAGCTTGCTGCTACTGGAACCCATGCATCTTCTCCTGCCTGGTCAGTCTTTGAGCGGGGAATAAAGAGCCACATGGCGTCTTCCTCGAACTGGATGTCGTGCCACTTAATTCCGACGAGGTCCGAGTAGCGTAGAAAGCCGGCGTACATTAGGATTGGGATAAGTCCCTTCTTGAACTCGCCGGGGTTGTTTGACTCCACGTATTCCGACGCCATTTCATGGACTTGGTGCAAAGAGATAGCCTCTTTGAGTCGTCGGGGGCGCGGGCAATGTTGCTTGGCGAATTCCCGCACTTGGGATGTGAACGGCCCAGTTGATGGGCACAGGGCCCCGATCATCCGATGTGCGAAGCTCACTGTCGAGCATGTCAGTTGTATCACTGATACTGTGGCTTTTTGTTGAATCGCATGGACCAGGTATAACGCGAGCGTCATGTCTGTGGATGGCAGAAACTATAGCTTGACTCGTTTGCAGAACGCGCGGAACTTGGCCCAGTACGGCTCGTAGGTGCGAATCGTAGAGTCGGCCCGTGTTTGCGCAGTTACACGGAGCAATTCTTGCTTGAGCCTCTCAAGTAATCCTGCACCAGGTTCGTGAGAGGTCAGGTAGCGAACGACACTCGTAAAGCGAGAATAGGGCTATGAGGCATTCCTTCGCCAGAGAAGGCACAAGTGTGGGTGCCCGCGGTGAGGCACTGACTCCCATGGGTGAGGTGGATGTGAGCGCGAATGCAAGGGGCCCTTTGGTGGGGTGGTTTGTAGCAACGGCCACCAGCTTGCCCCTGGCCAATGAGGCACTACGAGCGTGAGCGATGCTCGCGTCCGTTGGGCGTGGTGAAGCACTGCTGGGATGAGGTGTGGTGGTGGGAAAGCATAACCGTGCTCAGCGTTCCATGATATTGAGAAGGTGTCGGTAGCCTCTGCGTCCGGGTGAGGTGTTTTGGAACAGAAGCGGGCCAACTGTGTGTTGCTTGCATTGGCGAATAGATCGATGGAGTGCGGTCCCAAACGCCGCTCAATGAGGCGGAACCACGGTGCTTTAATTGAGTAGTCATCTCGATCGATCATCTTGGAGAGTTCATCCGCTCATGTGTTGAGCTCGCGTGGGATCCATTGGACCGTCAGGCGAATCCTCGAGACCATGCACGTTTGAATAATGGCCCTGCATGTTGTGGTGAGACTAGGGCTTCGAGAGCCGCCTTTGCGAAGAATGAAGAATACGCCTTGGTTGTCAGTTCTGGCTAGGACGTGTCGGTTGTGGATCCCTCCCGCGAACGGTTGGAGAGCCCATAGAACTCCTTCCATTTCTCGTTGCGTGCTCGAGGCCCTTGTGAGATGCTCGGGCATTGCTGCATTCGCCTTGGTTTGCCCTCCCGGGAACGTGTCTAGTGTGGCTCCCCAACAGTGTGCGATGGTGTCCACATGGATCACTGCGTCATAGCTGCTCGGGACGTGGAAGGAGGCGCCATTGAAGTTGTCGAATTCTTGCAGCCAAAACTCGAGTTCCTCGATTACGGCGGGGACTAATGGCACCTTGCTGTTCCATGAAGCGGCCTCCTGAATGGTCTGCAGCAGGTTCTGGCTAAATGCCCGCGCAGTTGCGCCGATGGCAAGTGACATCGAAGCGAGCATGCCAGTGACCCTCGCTACACGGCGGATCGGGACCTTGCGCTTGGCTCTGCCTGCCATGCAAATTTCTTGAATGGTCGAGCGTAACGATGCACGCCGCTCGGGACCAATGGAGAACTGGCCGTGCTTAGTATCCAGTCCGACACCCAGAAAGCGCAGCTGCTGGGTGGGTTGCAGATGCGACTTGTTAGAATTAATGACTAGCCCCGCCTTGTTGAGGTCCTCCACCACCATCTGGCACGTAGTTGGATAGCCGTCCTTGGTGCTGCCCCCTTCTTAAGACCATGGAAACCTTGCCTTGCGTCTCGGGCTCCTGGCTTAGTGGGAACAAAAAACTCCCTCCCTTCGTAGTTTTCTCTCTCGCTTGTTTCCCTCTTTCTCTCTCTTGCTGTTATTCTCTAGATTTTTTTTTTTTTTTTTTTTTCGAGGCTTGTGGTTGCTTCCGTTGCAGCTTCTTACACACATTGAAACCAAGGGCCTTAGTAAGTCACACAAAAATCACCATTTTCACAAACATAGCCCATTATGCATTCCGAGCCATCAATAATGCACACAAGAAATCCACCATTTCATTAAATGCTTTACTCTAGGACTCCTAGTCCTATCCCCTTGCCTTGGGGTTGGCCCGCGGCCATTCTACCATCCCCTACGGGAAACGGCCAGCGGCCTTGCACTCCCTAGTGCTACCTTGATCATGCCCCTCGACACCGGGTGATTGCCCTTTCGGGAGTTCACACCACCGGTGCGGGCCCTTGGGCTCCCGCCCCATTTTCACGGCAAGCGTTGGCCATGTGGCCCGGCTGCCCGCAGCGGTAGCAAGAGCCTCGAAAGCTCCTGCCGTTGCCATCACTTGGCGGGCCACGCTTGTTCCCAAAGGCCTTGGGCCCACGCCCTCCGCCGCGTGGGGCGCGATTGGAATTTCCTTTGGCGCGCTCCATGGCCGCTACGTCCGCGACGGCCTGCTTGAACGGACGAGAAGTGGAGATGCTCTTGTCTTCATAGAGCTTGAATCTGTTTGCGGTGCGGAAGTTTGGTGTAGTCGGCGACGTGAAGTAACTTGAAGCGGTTGGTGATGAGCGTGAAGGCTTCGCCAAGGAATTCGAGGGCACTTGCCGGCTCGTTGTGCCACACCTTGTGCTCTGCATGCTTCAAGTATGCCCGCAGGTGTTCCAGGACCTCGGCTTGCTCACGCACGGCGGCGTTCTTGAACGAGGCGGCGGTGAGGGTGGGGTTGGGAGAAGGGAGCGAAGGGAGTTGCTCATCGGATGCAAAAGCGACATTTATAGCATGAGCCTCACCGTCTTCGTCTTCTTCATTGTCGCTGTCGGTGGGGTTGTTCATGACTGGGGTCGCAACGGCGCGTGTGTCTTTGCCCCTTCCGGTTTTTGTCGTGCGAGCGCGCTTCACGGACTCCGTTTTCGCCTTTTCGCTTTTAGCAGAAACCGAAGTTGCGTTTGGTGTAGCGATTTCTTCAGTAACAGCAGGGGTCTGCTGCTGTAACAGGGTCAGCAGCTGCTGCAGTTGGGCTGCAGCGAATGATGGCGCCACTTGCGCGCCCGTCGCCTCTTGCGCGTGAGGCCCCACAGGCGCGTCAGGGCCCACAGGCGCGTCAGGGCCCACAGGCCTACGTCGCTGGCGCGGACGCGGGGTGCCAGCCGCGCTGGTTGGTGCCGATTTGGCGCCTTCTGTCGTGGCCGGCGCGTCAGGGGCCACAAGGGCTCGAGGCACACCAGGGGCGTGTGCCTCGACACCAGCAGCGTGTGCCTCGGTCGTGCCCAGCAGGACGTCGACGCCAGTCGGGAAATTTCCCCGTCTTCTGCCCGGCACTTGTTTGGGCGATCGCCCGCGATTTCGCGTGCGTCTCTTGCGGACTCGGGTCGAGCGTGGGCCGTAGCGGTATTAGACTCCCCGCCGTTAAGTGCCATAGTTGCTGCGTTGTGCGCGAAAATGTCAAAGAGTAAAGTCAACGGGGATTGAAAGCGAGGAAGAGACTTGGTCCTCGCCAACTTAAGTGCGGGAGACGAAAAATCGGCTAAATCGTTTGAAAATGAGAGACGTGGGTGGAGGGAAATGACCTCCAGCCCACGTTTTGTACTCCAAAACGGACGTTTAGCGCGGTTCGTCGCTGCCCATTCCTACATTACAGACTGCTTCGCTTTCAAAATACGAAATTTTGAAAAGCGTTACACTTTTAAAAATATTCATATCGCCTTCCGCGTCCCCCACGCTTCTCCCCACCGTCTCTCACACACCTCCTCACGCACACGCCCACTCTTCCCACCGTCGCCCAAGCTTTCCCCCACCGTCGCTCACGCTTCCCCTTATCGCCGCTCACGCTTCCTCCGGCCTTCCCCCACACCGTCGCTCACGCCTTTCCCCACCTTCCCTCACGTTTCCCCTCTCATCGCCCACGATTCCTCCCACCGTCGCCCACGCTTCGGAGCACCGTCACCCACGATTTCCCCACCGTCGCCCACGCTTCCCCCCACCGTCGCCCACGCTTCCCCCCACCGTCACCCACGCTTCCCCCCACCGTCGCCCACGCTTCCCTCCACCGTCGCCCACGCTTCCCCCCACCGTCGCCCCCGCTTCCCCCCACCGTCGCCCACGCTTCCCCCCACCGTTACCCACGCTTCCCCCCACCGTCGCCCACGCTTCCCCCCACCGTCGGCCACGCTTCCCCCCACTGTCGCCCACACTTCCCCCCACCGTCGCTCACGCTTCTCCCCACTGTCGCCCACCGCCACCGTCGCCCACCGCCACCGTCGCCCACCACCACTGTCGCCCACGCTTGCCCTCCCATCGTCCTCGCTTAGCCTTCCCGCCGACCTCCCTTCTCTCCTCCTCTCTCCACGTCGTCATCACTCCCCTGCCCATCACGTTCCCCCTATTCACCATCGCTTCTCTACCCATGCCGCCCACCCTCTCATCCCTTCCCATCGTGTGGGGTGTGGGAGGGTGCGTGGTCAGCAGCACCCTTCCGTCGCATACACGTTCATTCATTACCCCTTCCCTCATCTCCCCATTCCTCATCTCCCCATTCCTCATCTCCCTTTCCCTCATCTCCCCATCCCTCACCTCCTCATCCCTCACCTCCCAATCCCTCTCCTCCCCAGCCCTCTCCTCCCCATCCCACACCTCCCCATCCCTCATCTCCTCATCCCTCATCTCCCCATCCCTCATCTCCCCAATCCGCCTCACCCCATTCCGCCCCGCCCCACCCCATTCCGCCCCACCCCTTTCTGCCCCACTCCATTCCGCCCCACCCCTTTCTGCCCCACCCCATTCCGCCCCACCCCAGCCTCCTCCCCAGCCTCCTCCCCAGCCTCCTCCCCAGCCTCCTCCCCAGCCTCCTCCCCAGCCTCCTCCCCACCCTCCTCCTCACCCTTCTCCCCACCCTCCTCTCCACCCTCCTCCCCACCCTCCTCCCCACCCTCCTCCCCAACCTCTCTTCCTCCCCTCCCTTCTACTTCTCCCCCAAGCGTCCTCCCTACCTCCCTTCCTCCCATCATCACTTCCTCCCTTCCTTCATTCCTCACTTCCTCCATTCCTCCGTTCCTCCCTTCCTCATTTGCCAGTTGTCATTCCCTTATACTTCAGCCACGTCACATCTGACTTCTTGATTTGTGTTTGGACAGGTTTGCTCTGCATCTGGTTGTGCATGTGCTAGCTATCTGATAGTAACACACGTATAGCCATGCCATATATTGGATTCTTTTTTTATAATACAGGATTATGAGCCTCAGAGCAATCATACACATGACCAATACCAAGGAGTTCAACAATTAATATATTACCGTATCTGTAAAGTAAGGGGAATCACCAGACTCGAGAAGGGAACAAAGCTAGGGGGTGTATGTGTAATGTTGTTTTCCGGTTTTGTCTGCTACACTGCAAGCAATAAACCAGGCCGTGGTAAAGCCACATCTGGTGCTGAGCACCTGTAACTGCATTGGGGGGTATGGGGGTAAGTGAAGGGGGAAAGACAGTAAACGAAATGAGCAGAGGGGAAGACAAGAAGCAGCGGGGGACAGATAGAACAGAGGGGAAGTGAGGAAGCAGGGGGGAACAGAGTGAGCAGAAGTAAAGAGAGTGAGCAATGTGAAAGTTTAGAAGAAAGAAGAGGGCTGCACTAGCAAGAATGGGGATACAAATAGGAAACCCTAGAAGGGTTGTACTCGCTATAGAGCACCCCACTACAAGCTAGAGCATAAGATAACATTCTGACACACCCCCATAGCCAAAGTGGGGTGTAATCAGCAGAGCAAGCAAAGCAGTACAAGCTCAGGGTGGATCACAATGTCACCACACATTCTGAGCACAAGTTCAAGAAGCAATAGTTTAAAGTTCACAATTATGAGCAAAGCTAGTGGTAGTCACAACGGGCAAGTGAGGAGGAGGAGAGAGAGTGAGAGGAGAGGAGATAGGAGGCGACGGATGAAGCTGCAGACACACGGGCAACAGGAGGTACACTGGCACAGCTGCTATCGGAACAACGCTCCGGAATACTGGAGTAACTGGCCCCGCGGCTAAAGTAGCGGCAGATGAGCAACGGACCCACGGGCGGCTGGCACAGCTGGCTACGACTGGGCTACCGGAGCAACTCCCCGGAATACAGGTGCTGCTGGCGACACGACGGCAACCTCCATTCAGCTTCCCCAAACTATTCCACTCCCCCTGGCACACACCCGCTGCTACACCGCTAGCTCCACTCCCCCTTCACCCCCCCTTAGTACCACTCCACCGGCTCCAACACGTCCACCCCCCCTCAGCGGCAGCTGCACCACAAGGAGACGGAGGTGCGCGCGGGCCTGGCACCGTCCGTACGGGGCGCGCGCGGGCCTGGCGCCGCCCGTACGGGTCGCGCGCCGGCCTGGCGTAGCCCGTACGGGCCGCGCACGGGCTGGCGCAGCCCGTACGGGCCGCGCGCAGGCCTGGCGCAGCCCGTACGGGCCGCGCGCTGCCTGTACGGGCCGCGCGCTGCCTGTACGGGCCGCGCGCAGGCCACGACGGGCGACGCGCGGGTCCCCGTCGCCCGTCGCGGCGCCTCCAGAGGGCGACGCGCCGAATGACGGGGCAGAAGCCCGCCGCGCGCCTCGGGGCGCACAGCGGGCAGAGAACCGCCGCGCGCCTCGGGGCGCACGGCGAGCAGAAAACCGCCGCGCGCCTCGGGGCGCACGGCGGGAAGAAAAACTGCCGCACGCCACGGGGCGTGCGGCTCAGAGAGTAGTGCTAGTAGTTGCAGCGGAAGCAAGGAGGTGGTAAGCCCACCCACAGGATCGATCCAAGGGGATCGACCTGCTCTAATAGCATGTGAAAGTTAGAAGAGAGAAGAGGGCTGCACTAGCAAGAATGGGGATACAAATAGGAAACCCTAGAAGGGTTGTACTCGCTATAGAGCACCCCACTACAGGCTAGAGCATATGATAACATTCTGACAAGCAAGGGGGAAGAGAGTGAGCAGAGAAGAAAGGGAGGGAGCAAGGGTGAAACAGAGGGAGCAGGGGTGAGCAAGGAAGGCGATAGGGGGAAGCAGGGAAGGAGATAGGGGGAAGCAGGGAAGGGGATGGGGGGGAGCAGGGAAGGGGATGGGGGTGAGCAGGGAAGCGGATGGGGGGATGCTGGGAGGGGGACGGGGGAAGGAGGGAAGGGGACGGGGGGAAGCAGGGAAGGGGAAGGGGGAAAGCAAGGAAGGGGATGGGGGGGAGCAGGGAAGGGGTTGGGGGGAAGCAGGGAAGGGGATGAGGGGAGCAAGTCGGAATATGGGGGGAAGCAGCGTAGGGGATACGAGAAACAGGGAAAAAGGGAAGGGTGTATGTGCGGGTTGGAAAGGGGGCGTGACAAGTGTGCGAGATGGGAAGGGAGAAGGGAGGGATGGCGAGGGCAACGAGGAGTGGAAGGGAGGGCGACGGGGAAAACGAGGGCGACGGGGGGAGAGAGAGACGGGGATTGTGAGGGGACGAGCGCGAGACGAAGGGGGGCAACGGGCGGAAGGGAGAGAAAGAGAGCGTGAAGGGGGAAAGAGAGTGAGAAGGGGGGAAAGAGAGTGAGCAAGGGGAAAGAGAGTGAGCAGGGGGGGAAGAGAGTGAGCAGGGGGGGAGAGAGTGAGTATAGGTGTGAGGATCTAGGATCGAGTTCAGAAAAGAGAATGAGAATTGAGTCGAATTGAATTGAATTGAATGTGTTCACCTGGGTACAACACGAGGCTATATATAGGCTCGACACAAGGCCCCGTAACCAGGTGTTACGCGAAGGTTCCGCGGGTCGCGAAGCGTCCCGAACAGATCCTTACCGAATTCGGTAGAAGGCAATTCGGTGGCAACCGAAAAGCCAGAATTCGGTGCACGCAACCTAGCTCGGTGCTATAACTATAATAAAATATAGGAAAGCACCTAGCCTAGGAAATCAAGCAATTCATGCATGCATATAATTATCCTATGCTAGAAATAGCATGATAAAGTAAAGGCAAGCAAGCATAGCTGGCATAAGCCGTCGTACTCTCACACGTCCCCCCCTCAAAGCTGGGTGGCGTGAGATACACCCTGCTTGACAAGATAGTCCTCGAGAGCACAGCGTGCGTTGCCCATATCAGCTTCTGCAACCCAACTGTCCTCAGTGGGGTCGTATCCCTTCCAGCGTATCAGGAACTCAAGGGTCTTGCCACCGCGGCGCCGATGGGTGAGAACGCGCTCGATCTCATACTCGGGTTCATCCTGTATGAGAACATGTGGTGGTGGCGGTAGTTGCCGTCCCTGGAACTGTTGGTTGGGGTCCTTGTAGGGCTTCAGTAGCTGGACATGGAAAGCGTTGTGAAGCTTCCATGTATCTGGTAAGCGCAAGTGGAATATAACTGGTGTCAGCTGTGCCTCAACGAGAAAAGGACCACAGAAGCGAGGCCGGAGTTTGGATGGGAGGTGAGACAGGTTCAAGTTGCGCGTGTCAAGAAGCACCTGATCTCCGACTGCTACTGAGTGATCACGTCGCTGACGATCGGCATATTGCTTCTGGGAGTTCTGCATCGTGGTGAGACGTCGCTGAGTCTTCTCCCAAAGCTGCTGCATGGTGGTGACGAAGTCAAGTGCGGCTTGGACGTGTGCCGGTGTAGTTGGCTGCTGTGGTGTGAGTGGTTCCCGTCCGTAACACAGGAAGAAAGGAGTTTTCCCTGTGGCCGCATGTGATGCGTTGTTGTAAGCAAACTCTAGGGTTGGTAACTGTGTGTCCCAGTGGCTGACGTCGTCCTTGCAAGCTGTGCGCAGTAACTGTTCAGCCACTTGATTGAGTCGCTCTGTCTGTCCGTCAGTCTGGGGGTGATATGCTGAAGACATTGCAAGCTTTGTCCCCAACAGTCCCATGAGCTCCTTCCATAACTTACTCGTGAATTTGGGGTCTCTGTCTGAGATGAGTATAGCGGGGATGCCGTGGATGGTGATGATGCGGTCGAAGAAGAGTCGAGCAGTTGCTTCAGCTGTAGCTGTGGCGTTGGTCGGTATGAAGTGACCCATTTTGGAGAACTTATCGATCACCACGAGGATGGAATCATGTCCTCGTGAGGTCGAAGGAAGCCCTGTGATGAAGTCGAGGCTAACGACCTGCCATGGCTGCTCCGGTACAGGTAGAGGCTGAAGTAACCCTGCTTTTTTATGCTTGCTGCTCTTCATCCGCTGGCACGTGTCGCAAGAGGTGACGAACTGCTGCACGTCTGCTGCCATCCCGGGCCAGTAGTAATACTTCGCTATCCCTGCTAACGTCTTGTTGCTCCCGAAATGACCCGCGTAAGGTACGTCGTGAAACTCGTCCAATAGGATCTGCCGTAGCGGGGCGTAATTCGGTACCCAAATCTTTCCTGAACCCTTCCTTACAGCTAAGTCTTTCTCCCACTGTAATAGCTTCTTGGTCTGTGCTGTAGCAATCTCTGCGTCCACGGTGTACCCATGTTGGAATAGACCCTTGAGCAGAGGGTTCATCCCGTCGAGCTGGATGCCTGCTACATGTCCGGGGCGGCTCAACGCGTCTGCCTTGTTGTGTAGCCCGGGCTTGTAGACGATGTCGTAGTGGAAGTGAGTTTCCAGGAAGTCCACCCACCGCACCTGTCGTCGTGAGAGTGTCGGCTATGACTTCAGGTATTTGAGACTGCAGTAGTCAGTATAGACTGTAGGCTTGGCTCCCTCTAAGTAACGCCTCCACGCCTTGAAGGCTATGACTATCGCTAAGGCTTCCTTGTCGTGAATGGGGTAGTTTAGTTCTGCTCCGTGTAGCTTCTTACTGAGGTAGGCGATGGGCTGTAAACCGCGTCCGTGATCCTGCATCAGTACTGCTCCGATTGCTTGGTCACTAGCGTCTGCTTCCACCACGTAGTCCTTGTCTGGATCCGGCAAGATAAGTACTGGCGCTGTAGTCAGTGCTGTCTGTAGCTGCTCTATGGCTTGCTGATGAAGGGTATCCCATTTGTACGGCGTATCCTTTTTCAGTAGGTCGGTAAGTGGCGCTGCTATCTTAGCGTACTGCGGCACAAACCTGTTGTAGTAGTTGGCGAAGCCTAGGAACTGCT